CTTTTAGTATTTACTGTGCCACTATTTATTCATGAGAATGAATGACAATTTTGTCACGTGTTGAATAATCCTATTTGCATAAGGATTATTGTCCTCATCTTTGTTGTTGTTGTTATCACAACATTTAGGCTGTTGTGCCCTGGGGTCTTCCTCAGGTCTATAGGGAATTCTGAATTGAACCCTTTATTAAATAAGTTTCCTATTAGGTAATATTTTCGATACCTTTTTTTTAGTAAAATGCCGGAGGTTTTGATGCGAAAATGTTTTTCGGCGAACTCTTGAACCTGGTCATCAAATACATGGCGTGTTGTGGGGAAAAGTAGAACAAACCAATCGAGTTCCACCCACCTCTCCGTGTTATTTTTGATGTACGCAGCTTTGCATTTTCATGGAAAAGGAGAATATATTCTTTTAACCCACGGTGTATGTTGCCATTCTCTTGCGCACAAACACCCTTAGGGAAATTATGGTTCCACCTCTTCTCCTCCTTGCAGCTATAGTTTGAATAGCAGGACAGACTTTGTTCCTGTTGCCTTGGTTGGCAACCAGTCTACCGCAACATGCTGCAGGAAAATATTCAGCTCTGTCAGTCATGAATCGAAAGCGAAAGTGAACAATTTTAACACTTCTGCTTGAACTCCTGAGTCAAAATTCGCAAAAATTGGTATGTAATGTTTCACGGTAGATATAAAAATAGTTACAAGTGTTTAAGAACCCCCCTCCCAGTTCAACCGGTAAAGCGGTAGTCAGGGTTCAAAGAGTTAATGAACTCCAAATTTATTCTTAACTGCCGTGTATGATTGTCATTACAAGGGCACCTCGATGGGGTGTAATAGTTAAACTTGTCTCACTAGAACAATTATGACCGAGTAGCGAGTTCAATCCTCATCGGACGCCCCATACTTTCGGCTTTGATCCACTTCTAAGCTATGCTTAGAAAAATCAGTATTAGTCATTACAATTTATTTCCCAAAACCAGAAATTCACCGAATACAAGGCCCAAGAGCCACTCAAGGCAGAGGGCTACTGTAGGAAGGAATAAGAAACCCAATCCTAAACAGGAAACCAGGGATAAACCTCTACCCCTGTACAAAAGACCAGGAAGAGTGTGAACTTTCCAAAAGGTAAACCTGACTTAAAAGGGATTTCATCGATTGAAAACAAAACAAAAAAATTTGATCTAGAGCTGGGTGTATACATTAATTTCACTGTTTTGCGACTTTTTTTTTTTCAAGAGAGTATTTCTACGCAAACATCCTATATATATAAGGTGAGAGGGCACCAGTATGGGAGAGGTGGCATGGCGAAAGTAGTTTTGGCAGGGAGTTCAAGAAGCGAGAGCAAGAACTAAAAGGTCAGCCAATCTAACAGTGATCTCATCTCACAATCCTCACTCTTGCTCCATATGTGAGTTCCTTTGTAAATCACTAGTGGGTCTTAAATGCCACTTAAGATTATCGTACAAAATTTCATAACTGAATCAACTGTCAGATCCTCATACGTCGAAACCAACGGGAGAGTCCATTATTATATATCAGTAATGCCTTGAGAAGATAAGAGTTTAATTTGTTCCAAGACCAAGCTCATAACTCAAGAGTCTTATCTCAAATCAATTTTCCTCATTGAAACTAATGGGAATATTTCCGATTCATTCCAGGCCCCTAAAAATTCGCCACTGCTCTTTACACTTACTTTCTTCAGACCCATGGTTTTACTAACGGAATTTTGAAAAATGACAGTAAAAAAGATACAGCACAACAGATCCTTCCAGAGCAGAGGTGAACACATGTACTGTGGAGAATTAAACACGTTCATATTTCAAAATTCAGTTGGTATCGCAAAGTAAAAAATTAAAAAAAAAAATTCCAAATTCCAGCTTGTATCTAAAAAAAACTTGTATGTTAGTATACCTGTATCATCATGGTATTACTGGATATTGTATAAATATACAAACGTTTACATAATTTTAGTATTTACTTTGGCACAGGACGAAATGTAAAAATTTTGTGTGGAGTATAAAGACTGTGTTGTATTAAATTCAGATAACCTGCTTGCCTTAATCATCTTAATTTTTATCTGGATTAATCAGGAAAAATAACCAATCACCAAACAAGTACTTACAAAGCAATCTGGCACAAGGCCATAATAATAGAGCTTCCACTGAAAGCATGAGTAATCATATAGAACAATAGCTTCTCAGATATTTACCAAATTTAGCTCATGTTGCACATCTATTATTAACTTTTATTGTAGAAACTTTTTTTTTTTTTTTTATTTATTTGAATATTTCCACCCATATCCTGACATCAGTTTAAATTGACATCTATTTTTCCAAATATCTAAACTATAATGTTGAGAAAATGAAAATGTCACTGAAATATCAATACATCATGTAAATCACCTTGATTTATTGATCCACATGAATTCATTGAAACCTTGGAAAGTTCCAATAATCCGCAGGGGTCAATATCAACTACTTTGGAGGCAAGCTGATATCAGGAAGATACGAGTTAGTCTGATGTCATTATCATGCAATATACTCAATAACAAACCCATGAAAAAACTGAATTGTTTGATTTTCAAGAATGAGAAGTTACCATTATTTTCAGGAATGAGGAATTACCATTTTTTACCTAATCTTGATTGTCACCATAACATTTCGGCCATTGTGCCCTTTGACTTTCATCTTTCGCTTGTTGATACGTGTAACCTACAGGGAATTTCAAACTGAACCCTTTATTTAATCTACAGGGATAGGTTGTTCAGTTCAAAGTTCCCTGTAGGTTACCTGGATTGACAAGCACCTGATGAAGGCAGAAACATTGTGATAACAACAGCAGAACATGGGGACAATTGTCCATGTGTAAATACTGCAATTATTTATATGTTACTATGTACTGAAAATGTTTGAGAGTTCTAGACCAATCCAGAATATAAGTTTTATCTACTGACCAGAAAACATCTAATATTGAAATAGTGAAATTAAATACAAGATGCAAAGTAATTTTGTGACATGCCAGAAAATCTCATTTTAACTAAATGCATTGAATCCAGAGTGCCTAGTATTAGAAACATTTTCACATATCCTGTTGTGCCCCTGTGAGCTAATGGCAACATCCTACCCAACCCCTTGTATCTCAATGCACATTTTGAAAATCATTATTTTATTAAGAGGTTTAAAAAAAAAAAAAAAAAAAAAGGAAAAAGAAAAGAAAAACTCAAAATAAGTATTTTTTTTGTTTTTTTTATACTTGCCCATTTTTTTTTTTTATTTATTTCTCCAGAGTTAGACTGTACATTACTTGGTGACCCAGCACTGTAACTACACAACCAGATCTTTGGATGACACACGCACACACAAAAAAAATAAAGGACAATGGGAGGGGAGGGGATAACAATAATAATAATAAAAAAAAAAAAAAAAAAAACGGGGAAAATATTAACTTTTAATTATGACAAAAAAAAAAAACAAAAAAAAAAAAAAACCCCAAAAGAAAACAGGTTTTCTTTTCAGTTTAGTGGGTACAATAGGGGTAGCTTTTTTTTCTTTTCTTCTTTTTGCTTCTCTTGAATTAAATATTTAAAATTATCCAAATATAAACAATAATGAAATTGAGGACATTGAGTAGGTGGTGGTGTTGCAGCATAAAAAAAAGAAGTCTGAAATGAAATGAGTTTGATTCTCAGGTTAGAGAAAGAATTTTTCACAATATTTTGTAGAAAACACACACACACAAACACACATTTTTAAATGGTCATACATCCAATCAGCTATGTGTATTCTCTTATACTCACAATCACACAATACACAGTTAAGCCTTGGTTTCCATCTTGTTTTTGCATTTACACTTAAAAATAAAACACTGTATATATGGAGAGGCAGACATACATGAATGTGTGTGTGTGTGTGTGTGTGTATGTGGGGGGGTATATTTAAAGGAAATTTATAGGTATAGAAAACCTAGATAAAATTAAACCACAAAGAGAAAAAATTAAAATCATAATTATCCAAATAACTCCTTATTTTGGAACATGTAAGGCAATTTGTTTTCCTTTTTTGAATTCTCTACTGAACATTTTACAGCACATTTGATGCTAAATTTAGGATGTTTACAAGATCTATTTTTCTTTTTTATTTTCAGAATATATGAGTGGAAAGATGTTGAAATTTTTCAAAAACTAAAATAGTATACCTGCTTGTAAAGCAAGAAATACTAAAGTTGATGCATTAACACCTTACTCACCAATTCTGCAGTCATATCACTGCAAAAGAGTGTTTTAGTAATACGGCCCAGATATTAAACAGGCCGAATTGTAATAATGGTAAGACATTAGCTAGATGAAGACACCATTGCCACTTACATCTTGCCATTATGTGGGAGGCATTAGTAGGAGGTATTTCTACTGTACTCTTAAAAAAAATTACTGAAACTGTAAGACTGTTGAGAAACAAACAGTGTTACAGTTACACATTGCAGAGAATTTAACAGCAAGTCAATTTTTCTTTAAAGTTTAAACTAATTTTTGATCCAAGAGGTTTTTCTGTCCTTATTAGTTGAAAACACAGAGAAGCCCAAAGGTGTGTGTCGGTACATTGAAACTTTCAAAGCAAAATGTTTGCTGACTTTAAGAATGAAAATAAATCAAGTTTTAAACCACAATTTAGTGTATATGTAAATTCTACTACTTATCAAAAATAAAATTTATGAATTTATTCATATTGTGTAAAAAAAAAAAAAGAGAAAAAAAGTGATATGAAATTATTAAAAATTTTACTGCAGATTTTTAATAATGTTTTTTTTTTTCAAATTTTAATTAGAAATGTTTTGGGTAAAAGCTAAATGACAGAAAAAGTCACATTGGATGGGTTATCTAAATTTTATTTATTTATTTTTTTTTTTTTTTTAAGATTAACTGTTTCTGACCAATTTTCTAAACACTCACACTGCCTCCACACTCCAAATGGTAAATGTTTTTGGTAATCACATCGAAAAGAAACCTTAAATAGAAAGAAAGAAGGAAAGAAAAAGGGAAAGGAAAGAAAAAGAAAAAGGGAAAGAAAAAGAAAAAGGGAAAGGAAAGAAAAAGGGAAAGGAAAGAAAAAGGGAAAGGAAAGAAAAAGGGAAAGGAAAGAAAAAGGGAAAGGAAAGAAAAAGGGAAAGGAAAGAAAAAGGGAAAGGAAAGAAAAAGGGAAAGGAAAGAAAAAGGGAAAGGAAAGAAAAAGGGAAAGGAAAGAAAAAGGGAAGAAAAAGAAAAAGGAAAAGGAAAGGAAAGGAAAGAAAAAGGGAAAGGAAAGATAAAGGGAAAGGAAAGATAAAGGGAAAGGAAAGATAAAGGGAAAGGAAAGATAAAGGGAAAGGAAAGATAAAGGGAAAGAAAAGGAAAAGAAGAGAAAAGAAAAAGAAAAAGAAAAGAAAAGAAAAAATAGCTTCCTAATAAACTAGAAAAGGGATTGGTTTTAACTGCCCAATAAAAAGAAGAAAAAAAAAGAGACACATGAATGGGTGAGGAAGGGGCTTGTTGATTCTTTTTTGTATTTTATTTTTCTCAAACAAAGACGGTGCTACTGTCAGGATATGGATGTCCACCATCATCAAAGAAACGTCGAAATGTAAATTCAAAAAATCCATGTTCTGGATGCTTGCCATTTTCCTGTCCAATATCTCGTCTTTTGCTGTCATCACCATTGTCATTGCTAAACCTTAGTTTCTCAGGATCGACTGGGTCAAAGTTGGATGTATCCGTAGCATGGCGTATGGTTGGAGCATAGGGTGCCGTCTGCTGACGAAGACCATTAAATTTTATCTTTTCAAAGAATGGATGGTGCTTTATTTCCTCTGTACCATGATTTCCTAAGCGCTCTTTTGGATCCGTCAAAAGATTCAAGATCAGATCAGTACTTGCAAGTGACAGTTTATTTTGCGGAATATGTAAATTTTCTCTCCAGTGTATCACCTGTGCAAAAAAAAAATAAAAAAAATAAAAAAAATTTAAATAATAGTAAAAAAGCAATAATGATGAGGACACAGTTCTGCTTTGTTCGTTCATTAGTTAAGACATATGTTACACCCTGCCATTACCTCAGATAAACAATGGACCATTCCTGTTTGGTTTGGTTTGGTTTTAGTGACATATCTCATATGGTATATTTAATACCAAAATCTAAATATGACAATTCAAACTTTATAATTTATTCAAAAGAATGACATTAATTCATGATTAAATTATAATTACTTAGTTGCAATTTTTTGTTTTCTTTTAACTAAATAAACTTACAAAATCAAACTAGGAATGAAATTTTTTTTTTTTTAATCAAATAAACTTACAAAATCAAACTAGGAGTGAAAATTTTTGTTTTTTTGACAATGTATGCCATGTCTTCAATTTTACTATAAAAATGTATTGCTGGTATTTTTACTACAAATTTTTTTATACTTTTGATTTCTGTTTGGGTGTTCACTATTTCCCATAGCTGGGACCCTAACAGGAGCTACCACCCTTGGGGTCATGGTGGGCCTGGGAACAACAGTGATTAAGAGGTGGTTCCACACTCCTCAAAACCTCCCAATAAACTACATCCAGCCTTGCTGCCAGATGTAGTTTATTGTCATAGCCAGGACTACATTCCTGCTTGATTGCAAAGATAGATGGGAGAAAAGATATATATCAAAGTAACTGATGAGTTTTAGGGAAGCGAGTTAATGAAAGAGAAGTAGTAGTTAGCCAAGTGTTGAGAGGCTTGCCTTTTTAGTTTGAAGGATGAGGCAGATAAGGTAACTTGGATAGTTGGGAACACCCTCAACAAGTGACCGTCTAAATGGATGCAGTTATCTGACATGAAAGTATTTCTAAGTGGGCCCCACCTGCAAAGTTATGCACTGCTTTTATCCAAACTTCCTGTCACCACATCACACACATTTGCATTAGCCTGATATATGCGTGGGTGTCATGAAGGGTATATTGGGTTTTGTATATCTGCAAACCAGTATTAGTTTGTTGGTGGGCTGCTCCCTCAATCAATAATAATACCCAGGACCTGCTTGATTGCAAAGATAGATGGGAGAAGAGATATATATCAAAGTAACTGATCAATTTTAGGGAAGTAAGTTAACGAAAGAGCAATAGATGAAGCAACAAGTCATGCTTAAGAACGGCTTCAATGAAATATAAAAACTTGTCAATTTCAAATCTTCATTTATACTCTCTTATTTCTTTAACACATCTATTGACAGTTCAATCATTTCTTTTGCATTTTTAACTGGCTTTTAAAGATCTTTATTTTATAGCATGTGTTTTCAACCAGGGGTGAATCCTCCCTAGTGGGAAATTTCAGAGTTTTAGAAGGCGAAAGAGAAGGGGGTTTGTTAAATTTTCTTTTTTTTCTTGGTTTTATCTACAGAATTTTGTTTATTGAATTCCAATACCTTGGGATTCTATTAAATTTTTGGTAAATTGAAGTATGCTTCAGTTTATTTATTTAATAATTAGTTATTTTTCAGCGTGCCCATGTCGCTAACAAATATGACACAAGGTTGAGGTTTAAGACGAGTTTAATGGCAATACCATGGAAAATTTGCACAAGCCCCCTCAGCACTGCCTAGGAGAAAGGCCTCCTGAGGTTTGGGCTTAATAATTTTTTAAAAAATTTCCCGGCATGTGCCAGATGATTTAACACAAATTACTGTACATGTTGTAGATGATGGTTGCAACAGGACCAGTCCAGCACATGCAAAACTGTCGATCATCTGTGCAGCTCACCTTTTATTTAGGTTTTTGACTATGTATTCAAATTAGAAATAGTTTTAAAAGAGCTAGAACCATGCATGCACTTTAACTAAATTGTAAATGGTAGCTCTGTGTTCATCTTGTCTGGTTTCCACAACTGTATGACAAAGCAAAATTCGATGTTGACCAGATAAAGACTACCTTAGTTATAGCCTTTGCTACGGACTCATTTATGGCATATGAACAGTTTACTGAGTGGCACCTGTAGTGCAGCGAATCCGTGGATGTATACCTGGCCAAAATAGCTTGTGTTTGCCTTGTCTAGTTTTTGCACATCTGCACGTCAAGAGCACCTCTCAACAGTCCATTGTAGAAGTGGACGCAACTCCAGGTGCTTACAACACAACATGCAACCAACTTGGAGTCTTTTATCAGGCTGACACAATTCTCTGTTACAGGCTCTGACCAGGCTGGTGAGACATCATGGCCTCTTAGCCACAGGTAAGTTAGAATTCCTTGTTCCTATTTTACCAAACATGTATTCAAGTTTAAAGATCCATCCACATTTTCTATTACGATTAAATTTGTAAAACTGCTCAATAAAAATAATCCATGTTAATGTATATTTAATAATACAGAAAAGAATGAAGATTTTCAATAAAATCTGCATATTATTTAGAATGCACCTTTTGAGTTAGGCAATTTTGGAAAGTGGGGGAATAACATTTTGGCTTATAGCAAAAAGGGTGCATTGGGCAAAAAAAGCTGTTCTATAGCATTGTTTCTTCAAGACATAATGGCTAATATCTTCTTGACACTTTTAGAGAGTATGGGATTTGTTGTTTTTGCAACAGTTATAGACATTTTTAAATGGCCAACCTTCTACCTTGATGCTTGGCCCTCCTCTTTTAGCAAAGCTTCGTACTAACTATAGCAACTGCTAACAGAGTTTTCACTCAGAGAATCTTTTATTTACATTCAGAGTAATATCCTTATCTTTTTTTTGCTATTATCACATTTCACATGTTGCACCCTCCTGATGTTTGTCAATTCTGGCAATAGGAAATTTTAAATTGAACCCTTTATTTAATCAACAAGATTGTTCTGGCCAGGTCTAGAAATATTTTGTCTGCTTCTTTTTTTTTAGCACAAAGTCAATGCCAAAACAGAAATAATCTCCTGGCCTTAAAAAAAAATGTTGCAACTCTGAAGATTACATGAGGACTGGTGTTTCAACATGTTATGGCCATAAGCCCTTGTAACTAGTAAGGAAAATAACAATATAATTAAGATGTTGACATCCCACACTAGCACAAACAAAAAGATTAGAAAGAAATTCCCATCGCTAGTAAGAGGAGGAATAATGATGGAATTCAGAAGTCTATTTTTTTTAAAAAAATAAAAATAAAAAAAAAACAAAAAACAATCATTTTAAAGAGAAAGCTGCCTAAGGTGCCCACCAAAGCAAATAGTTCGATATAAGAAACACATTGATATGAAAACAGCAGTCATATTAACCTTATATTGAGTCTCTGCTGGGTGTGGAGCATAGAACGGAGGCTGCCCTACCAACATCTCATACAAAATGACCCCAACACTCCACCAATCACAACATCTTGTGTAACCTGCAAGGAAAAAAGATTTTTAGTTTATTTTTAGCAACAAAATTGAAAAATGGGGTGGGAAGCCACAGTTATGGTGTTGGTGGGGGTACTATAATTATAGAGAAGGGGGATAGTCAAACAGGACTAAAAGCAAAGTTAAATACCTTTGATTTATCTTTGTTAGTTCTACAATCCGGAATATTTATATTTTACAACTTTTTTTTTTTTTTTTTTTTGGCAGAGTATACAAAAGTATAGAGTATCAAAATCAATGTACAACATTAACGGTTTGTGAGACTAACTAGGTTAGATTGATTAATTTGTTCAACAGCATATCAACTCTTTATGGGTCATTTAATGCTGAAATTTAATTTTTTTAGGAGCAGTGAAGTAATAAAAATATTATGTTATTCTGCTTTCACATTTGAATACAGGGTAGATGATATGCAGCTTTTGTGCATATACATGTTTGTGTGGACATAATTACTAGAGGTGGTGATATGTGTGTGATTTATGTTGCTGTTTTGTTGAAGTTATATTTTGGAATACAATTTGATTTCATTAAGAAATTGTAGGATATTATATGGACTAATGTCATGTAGGTTCTTTCCTGTTGGTTGGTTGATTTCATTTCGTGGTATATCAACACTTTTATGGGTTATTTAATGCCAAAATCTAAATATTTGAACAATTTTATGGCTCCAACTAAATATATTTTGAAAGCAACTGTATGCCTTCAACTAAATATAAAATGTTTTCTTGCTATAAAATGTAATGTTGGTATTACTGGTCATTTTACCATAAAATTGCGTTCTTATAATTTCATAGTGTTTTGTTTTTGTTTCAGGGCAGCCACTATTTGCCCATTGCTAACAGGTAATATCACCAGAGGTCAGGGTGGACCTGGGAACAACAGCATTTAAGAGGTGGTTCCACATTCCTCAAAACCTCCTGATCAGAGGGACTAGATCGGAATATATAGAGATTTAGGCAATGTGCAACAAAATGATTGGTGACCCACTTGTACAGAGAAAATAGAGCTCCAAAGGGGCTTGACAGGTGTTGATGAATAAAGTCAGATGTAGAAAAGCACAGTTTTAGGATATAAAGCCAAGGAAAAGTGTGAGAGAAAGCTTCATAGCATTTAATGAGTTTGGTTTGGTTTGTTTTATGGCATATTAACCTCAATCAGTTATTTAATGCCAACAAGATTTGCTAATTTTTTTTTTTTTTTTTCCAAAATGTATTACTGGTAATATTTCTTTTTTTTTTTCAAAAATGTATTGCCAGTAATAATTTCTTATAAAGTATTTCTGGTATTAAAACCTATTTTTATAATGCCATAGTATTTTGACCCCAGTTTGGGGGTTAACTATTTGCCCAATTTGCAGCCACTATTTGCCCATTGCTAATAGGTACTACCACTCTGGGTCAGGGTGGACCTGGGAACAACAGCATTTAAGAGGTGGTTCCACACTCCTCAAAACCTCCTGATCAGAGGTTTTGCTGCTGGACGTAGTTTATCGTCTTACCCAGAAGGTGGATGTAGTATATCATCATGCACAGGACAATTATGGGTTTGGAATTAAATACAGAAAAAAAGAACCAATTAAAAAAAAAAGTCTTGAGAAATTAGATCGGCTGAAAGATCATTATTAGTACTGTCAGGTTTTTAAACACTATATTTAAAATATATCATTTACTTCTTAATTTTCTTGTTATATATTGTCTTCAGTGTTCGTTCTGGGTTTTATAGGATAAAAAAAAAAAAAAATTGAATTCAGTGTCCAATATTAAAAAATAAATTTCTAAAATTCAAGTATGGAAAAATAAGTTTCATTTTATTTTCATAACTGTTTTTATGTTTCAAGAAATGAACAAGAAGGTTACTGTGACTTTTGCATATGTTTCTATCGCAATTATGGCAGAGAGTTTGTAGTTTACGATCACACACTTTTAATTTACACAAATATGACTGAAACCAGAAACTCCTTGAAAACTACTTGACTAATCATGAAAATTTAACATGCCACTTATTAAACATTAAGAAGAAGAAGAAAAAACAAAACATTTGTTTGGATTATTGTTCTCATCTTCATTTGTCAAATTTCACATTTTGGCTATTATATGTTGTGTGAAGAAGGCTAGAACGTACAATGACCAAAACACTGTGAATATGACATAAAGACAACAGTCCAAATAAATAGTTACAATACCTCATCTCAGAAATATAGACAAAAAACATTTTCATTATTTACATTATTTGGACTATTGTTCTCATCTTTGCCGCCATATTTATTACAACGTTTCGACCGTTGTACACTCCGGCCTTCTTCAGGCCAGTTGGAATGTCGAACTGAACCCTTTATTTCGCTCACTGACACATGACACAGTGGATAAAGGCATTAGATCCAGTGACAGGACTCAAAGAGTGCGAGTTCAACATCTGGCTAAGGCAGTGGAGAACTTGGAGATAACTGACATCCATTAAACATGGCACATGGAACTAGAACTGTCTACCCCAGTGATTGAAATAAAGGGTTCAGTTTGACATTCCAACCACCTGAAGAAGGCTGGAGCATACAATGGCCAAAACATTGTAATAAATATGGCGACAAAGACAAGGACAATAGCCCAAATAATGTAAATAATGTACATAATACCTCATCTCAGAAACATAGACAAAAAACATTTTGTAAGGGGCTTAAGCACTGCAGAATACGGATGAGAGGTTAAGGAATTTGATCCAAATATTAAGTTGAAGATAACCTTGTGTAACTGGGTATGGCTTTATACCCACATGATTTTTTTTTTTGAGTATTCGTGATAACCAGTAGGCAGCTTCCTACCAATACTGTAAGTCTTTCGTTCATCTAGGCATACCATACAGTATCTTCACAAACCCCAACCCCAGCCACGTAATACAAGCTGGCAGTTATGTTTCATATGTACATTAAGAATACCAGCCTTGGAGATGATAGTGTTGATAGCAGACACATAAAGAAAGTTACAAAAACTTCTACAGAATGTTAAAGAAAGTTATTGAGTTGATCTTACCAGTTCGAAGAAGAACTTCAGGTGCAATGTAGTTTGGGGTGCCAACCAATGAGTGGGCAAGGCAACGTTGTTTCTGTTCTTGTTGTTTCACTTCCAATGGTTTTGGTTGATCACAGCTACACTGGTTATCTTTCAATACAACTTCCATTGAGCCTTGACGCGGATGACATCCATCTATAGAGACAGAACAAAATGAAAACTTTACTACACAAAATATTCAACAACTTTTCAATGTGAAAAGTTGTTTTTTTTTAAAGTTTAAATAATAAAAATAAAATAAAAATAAAATAAAAATAAAATAAAAATAAAATAAAAAAATAAAATAAAAATAAAATAAAATAAAAATAAAATAAAATAAAAATAAAAATAAAATAAAATAAATAAAATAAAAATAAAATAAAATAAAATAAATAAAAATAAAATAAATAAAAAATAAAATAAATAAAAATAAAATAAATAAAAATAAAATAAATAAAAAAAAATAAATAAAATAAAATAAATAAAAATAAAATAAAAAAAATAAAATAAATAAAAATAAAATAAATAAAAATAAAATAAATAAAATAAAATAAATAAAATAAAATAAATAAAAAAATCTCAACTTTTAGGAATTATTTGAAAACCTATTTCTGTTGCATTGGGTTTTTTATAATTTACAAAAAAATAAAATAAAATTTTACCTTTTGGGCTGTTTTTTTAATAAAATTAAAACAGATATCATTTTAAAACACAAAGGTAATCAATCATCTTTGAGTTTCTTACACAAAATATTTTTATTAATCTTTGTTTATCTTTCATCTCGTTTTTGTGAACTTTTTACATATGAACCATTGAACTCATCTTTGTTTTTACGTTTCAGCCATTGTGTCTTCTAGTCTTTATCAGAGTGAATGTTGATTTAGCTAAACCTACAGGGAGAGTTACAAACTGAACCCTTTATTTAATCTCTGGGTTGGTTCTTGTTTTAATACTGCTCAGTTACCGTGACAGCAAAAACAAGGACAATAGTCTGCATATAAATAAAGCTTGGTCTGTTTTACACCCAGTGAGTGTTTAGCAGAGATAAAGATGTAACCTTTAATGAAATTTGAACTCACATCTTGTATTAAGAGCCTAACATAATACCTATACCAATAGGTCAACAGAAATTGAATTTCAACATATGGCTACATCCATTTATCATCTGAAAGATCCACTTTATTAAAATCTAAAAAAATAAATTCATAAAACAATTTTTGGTTTGGTTTGGCTTACGGAATATCAACTTCAATGTGTTATTTAATGCCGACATGATTTTTATTACTGGTAGTATATTTTTTCTTCAAAAATGTATTGCTGGTAATATTTTTTTATTTTTATTTTTAAATGTATTGCTGGTAATATTTTTTTATATTTTTAAATGTATTGCTAGTAATATTTTTTTTTTATTTTTAAATGTATTGCTGGTAATATTTTTTTTTTTTTTTTAAATGTATTGCTGGTAACAATGTATTGCTGGTAATAATTTTTTTACAAAATACAAAAATGTATTGCTGGTATCAAAACCTATTTTTATGCTTTCATAGTGTTTTGACCACAGTTTGGGTTTAACTATTTGATCATAGCTGGGACCCTAACAGATGCTACCACCCTGGGTCAGGGTGGACCTAGGAACACCAGCAATTAAGAGGTGGTTTTACACTCCTCAAAACCTCCTGATCAGAGGCCTTGCTGTTGGACGTAGTTTATTGCCTTACCCATGACACAGATGTAGTTTATCGTCATACTCAGGAAAAAAAAAAAGTTTAAACTGGGACATAATAGTTCAATAATTTAAGTCATCTGCTCAAAGAAAAGTTGACAGGTGGAAAAACTATCGGATTTATTTATTTTTTTTTTTTTTTATAGTTTATCAACCTTTTGTAGGTTATTTAAAAGCCAGAAAATATTTTTGGACTGCAAGAAATTTTTGGAGATAATGATTTACTGATACAAGTCTTAGTAATTAACCCACAGCTTGAGGAGAAGAGATGGATTCATAGCTTTCCCAAAGGTACTGGTGTACAAGTGAATATAAAAAAACCTGACTGGAATTGGAACTGCTCTCAGATTTCTCATTCCTGGCTATTATACATTACACCTTTTGCACATCCATGCTTACAGCACCTGGTATCTTGTTAGTTGCACATCTAGGTACTGAGCAGGTTCAACATTTAACTTCAGTGATTGGCCAAGAACTGGTATTTCAACATCATTTGGCCATAAGCCACCCATCAGTGGGAAAGGATAGCTAATGAATAATGAAATGGGCAGTAAGGATTCTTTTTTTTTTTTTTAGAAATTGTTAGTAAAAGGAAATGCTTGGGAATCATGTTTTCTTAATGTATACAGAAGGTTAAATAATATTTTTCAGGTCATTTTGTGTGTTAACCCTGTAGACTCCCTTGCAGCCAGTTTCCCTACACTAGGTGTCACTGCTGTAATTTCCATGGCAGTTGTTTTTGTTTAGAGTTGCTAGACCCTCACCAGACCAGTTTTGAATTAAAAGAGTTATCTTTCTCCTTGAGTGGTTGCCAACCATAGTTAAAGAGCCCAGTCTACCGAGATATTTAAATTATAGCTGGGGACAACAAAAAGAGATGGATTTATATATTTACGAAGAATATTTGTGTAAAAGTGAATAAAATGGCCTTGGCTGGAATTTCAACTCAACATAACCAAAATCACTTTCCTAATTGATAATCTTTGTGTTTTATGGGTGAAGTAATTTTTATGCTAAAGACTGAAATCTGCTTTGCTTTTAAAAGTTTATAGAAAAGCCGTCGATTATTATGTGTGTAAAAGAGAAAACAAACTTTCAGTATATTTTTTTCATGTTACTGTGAACTAACAAGACAATTATCAATTCTTGTGATGTTACTTGATGTAATATTGTTATAACATTTCTGTACTAATTTATAATATATATATATATATATATATATATATATTAGAAACATTTATGTAATTTCATAGTTGGCTTGTAAAATATCAAAAACCCATGTTGTAAATAATATCCTATTTACCATTGAAGAATTCTGGAGATTTATTTGACCCAAGTTGCAGCAAGTGGCTTCAAGATGACAGCATCAATCATGCTGGCAAGTTGAGAATGTATGACCCTGTATTGACTGAAATTGTTTTAAATCCTTACATTATTCTGGTCATGCTTCACTCAGTTTATTGGATTCAATTATCAATTCTTGTGATCGTATTGCTATAATCCATATTTGGGGTCTTATTTTTATGTCCAATATTAGTTCCAGGCATTAAGTCAATAAGACATAAAATGTTTATAATTACATAACAGTGAAATCCAAAAATGACATAGGGAAAGATGGCTTCCAAAAGTTAAACAAAGTATTAAGAAACATGAAAATGTTATTAGAAAAAAGAAAAATAAAGGGTTCTGAACTGCTACATATTATCAGTGAATGCTGGACAATTTCTTCAGAGGACGACTTGAGGCAACAGAGGCATTTCTACAGAAGGATGATGAGAATGACATGGACTAAATATATATATATATATATATATATATAAAGTCTTAAGCAAAATGGAAACAAAAAGAACACATATTTAGGATCATAAAGAGTTGAAATTTCTGGGACACAGAATGAGGAAAGTGGGCTTGGAGAATTTGACATTCACAGGGCATTGAAGGCAAGACGGACAGAGGGGAAGCATCAAATAAACTACCTAAAGTGCTTGTGTTAATGGATTGCAGAACAGGGACTAGGAGGGATAGTAAAGCCACAAACTCTCACATCCTGAAGGGATATGTCGCATAAAAAGAAGATTTATATAATGGACTCTTAAATGAGTTGATGGTAAAAATGTTTTATTAATGTGGTATATGTGATCCTCATATGTATGGCCTTTTGTCAGACTAAGCTCTGTTTGGAACTACAAAACAAATATGAAAGAAAATCATTTTCTTTGTAGGAAGGTGTGCCAATGAAAAGAGTTTGAGAAACTGCTGTAAAAACTCAGAAAATAAAAACAAACATTTCCCTGCATAAGTTGGTCACAATATCAAAATGCTTCTTTACCTACAGCTGTTAAACCATATATGCATATATCTTGCTGTGTAGTAATGGTTAACGAGCTAATCTATTTGAGCATTAGTTTAATCCAAACTAAATATCCCACACTAGGCAACATGCATTCTGGCCTTGAACCAGACTAAGCTAAATTAATTACTCATCTTTTAATTAATATTTCTTTCATTTTACAGATTTTAGAATGATAAAAAAAAAAAAAAAAAAAACCCTTGGCAGGTTTTGAACTGGTGTCAACTGACAAGTTCCAAAAGACAAGTAAATTACAAAGACCAGCCAAGAGAAATCATCCAAATGTCAGGGTGGATCTGGGAACACCAGCAATTAAGAGGTGGTTCCACACTCCTCAAAACCTCCTGATCAGAGGACTTACTGTTGGATGTAGTTTATCGTCATACCCCGGACGGCCCAGTTTTATGACTTTAGCATAACTTAGCAAGCAATAAGCAAGGGAACCTTACTGTGTGACCTCGGACTTTCCCCAGAACAAAATCAATGTTCAAATATATGTATACAAGTGAAAACATGGCAACGTAACTAATGATCATCTCAAAAGAGGTCTTTATAAGAGAGAGGCTCCAATAAGTGGATTAAAGCCCAAGGAGAGTACTTTCAAGAAGCGGATTAGCATGCCACAGCCATGGGTACGTTACTTTTATCAATAAATATCAAATAAATAGTTAGGTGCTTTCTAGACAAAACATGTATAAGTCTTTTTTTGTTTGAACATTTACATGTTACTGTTCAGATTACACTAATATTCAGATTTTATAGACAAAGTTTTGTTAAGTGTTAGTAATTTTTTTAACTACTATTTTATCTTAATTTAAATTCAAATAATATTACTACTAATAAGATTGTAGCAAATCAAGTGTGCAGAAGGAAAAAGCTATGTTATACAACAGCATATCAATATACTGGCTGGTGTTTGTAGTCTAATTGGTAAGGCAGCTATCATGGATAAGGAGGTGGGAGGGTGAATGTTATTCTTTAAGTTAGATCCATGCTGTTTGGGAGTTATGATGAAAAGCAACTAAAAACAAAAAAACTACTAAGAAATTCAAATTCTATAAAGCTTGGTAAATATTTCTGAATTTGAGACCAGAAGTTTTAGAAGCAACAGATCCTCATTATATCCTTTAGTGCAATAGAAATTTATTAAAACTCAGTGCAAAATTAAAAAAAACAAACAAAAAAAAAAAAAACATTTTCGCATATGGCCAGTTGCCAAAATCTGACCAAAAATCAGTTTTTTTTTAAAATCCCATCATGGTCAGGCTGAGAACTTTTCAGCACCCCTTATAGGTAGAGGGACAAAGAGACATTAACGTACTAGTAAATAAAAACATATGGGATATTAAAATGTATTTTAGCCACATCAGATAGGCAGCTTCATGCAAATAAATTTTATTTTTCAAATAGCAAAACAAAACTTTTCAAATGGTAAGAAAAAATATGATTTGTATGGAAAATAAATTCTATTAGACAGCTATGAATCTCGTAGACATTTTTAATCCAATGACATTTATATTTAATAAATATGTTTCAATCAATCTACAATTCTGAAAAAATATGAGAAGTGTATGAGTCAGAAGTGTTTGGTTGGCTTAGAAACGCTTAATTTAACATGATATTTTATAATCTTAATTAAGTGTAACGAACCTGACACTGATCCCAAGGAGGTCAGAATAATCAGTCACATTAATTCACAATTTAAAAAAAATAAAATAAGAAATCCTTTAACCTTAATTTTTAATTAATGTTCATGAAAACAATTATACAATTTGGTCCTGCCTAAGAAAGAGAATTTAGTCTAAAGATGATAGAGTAAAATCTTAATTTACTTCAACAGCAGGTTCTAAATCAGAGGTTCCCAATTTTATTTTTTCTCTGGGCTGCATTTTCAGAATGAAAGTTTTCTTGTGCCTCACCAAATTTTGTGTGATAAAAAGTATGTTTAAAAATAAAAAAAAAAAGCGAGAGAGAGAGAGGCTTAAAGGGAGATAACTGTGGATTTGAAGTCAGAACGTTATCATTAATAACTCCCCCCCTCCAATTTGCAGACCCCAGTTACTATATTCTTAATACTTGATATAATGCAAAAATATCACAATGAAAAAAAACAGTCAATAATTATTTATAACTCTTTATACTGGGGTCCTGCATGCAATTACAATTAATCCATAATAATATTTTAAATTTTGAAATCATATTTATTTTTGACATATTAATTTTTTGAAACTATTTCTAAATCTCTGATTGTCATTCAATCATTCCACTTTGCTTATGAGGCACACCACATTGTTTTGGAATCACTGTCCTAAATAATCATTATCCTCTTATGCTGATACCTTTTAGTCTTTCTAGACTCTGCAATGACCTTGTACAACAAAGTTTTATTGAAAACCCAATAGTTTAATATTTATAAAAACATTAATCTTTAGGGGTTTTATTTTCTTGAGAAATGCAGTAGAATTTTGTGATGACAGTTTGGGAATGAAGATTATGATTATTTATTGGAATTATTAAAATTTTGAATTTTAAGAATGAATGTGTGCAAATATAGTGCAACTGTTAATGACCCAGAAAGGAAAAATCAGCCAGCAGACTTCATTACATTCATTTTTGCACAAAGATTCTTGGTAAAAAGGATGAAAACATCTCTTCTTCCACCCTTCTCCCAGCAGCTACAGGTTAAATAGCAGGACTTGCGGTATCAACCAGTCTTGAAGGATGAATTGAAAACCTGCCTGAAGAAGTAGGAGTTCTGTCAGTCTATCTATTCCTGCCCCAATAATCCTGATGGGTTATGAGATTCATGATGGAAAAATGTTTACCATAAAATATCTTCAAAAGTTTTGGGAATACTGATAGAATAATTTATAATTGTAACAGGATTAAACAGGAATCGTATTTTTAGACTATGCAGAACAATGTAATTATTAAAAGCTGAATAGCACTTCATATCAAAAGATGTTTTAGCAAAACCTGTGCTGAAATTCATCAGTATTAAACATATTTTCAAGTTTTAGGAAGAATGTTTGGTTCTTGTCTTGACAGAACATAGAGACCGACATATATTCCAAAAATGTTATTCCATTTTGCATGGCGAAAATTACAGAAGTTTGATTCCAATAATAATAAAATGATTATTATTTTCATGTTACGGTTTGGTAATGAGAATGAATTCTTTCAAGAATATACACTTAAAGAACAGAATTTTAAAATGACCTTATTTTTTTATAATTTATAATTTTAATAATTTTTAATTATCAAAATGAGCTTATTTTTTAATAATTTTTAATTATTAAAATGAGCTCATTTTTAATAATTTTCAATTATTAAAATGAGCAATTTAACAATTTTCATTCTATAATAAACAAGTATGTTCAAGACTCAAGATACATAAAATATATATATATATATATATATATAATATATATATATATATATATATATATAGATGTTGATAGGAAAATTAGTTTTCTTTTTTTTACTTTTAACACTTCTGCTGCTGAGGAGATATATGCTCCTGAAAAATTTATTTTGGTTGAGCTCTCTGGGGAGGAAGTGTTGGGTTTGTAAACAGTGACTATTATGGCTAATAATGCAAGACTCTTCGGTAGATCGAATAGAGTTCTCTCAGTCACTGTGTGTTTATCTAAAAATAAATATGCTTAAATTCATCTTCATCTCTGCCATGTGCCAACGGCTTAGTGGTAGAATCCCTGACTGACACCAGTTCAGTCAGGTTTCAATCCTAGCCAGAGGCAACCGGACATCTAGCCACACTGATGAGCTGTGGTACAGCGAAACAGTCTGTCTGTGGATGACTATATATATATATATATATGTGTGTGTGTGTCTATGAAAAACAGTGAAATATTAGTCCCTAGAGCTAACTATTTACATAGGGACTAATGTCTTTATCTTTGCTGTTATCACATTGTTTTTGTTACTTTATTCCCTCTGATCTTCATCAGGTGTTTGTAGATCTGAGTAAACTACAGGGGTTTTTGAACCTTTAAACTGTTCTTTGTTCTGCTGCCCATGTCTAGGGATATCTTGTCTAATTATTCTTAATACCACTGAGTTATGTCTTAATCTGTTTCTATAGAGTACAAATACAAATGGCCCAGCCCAGGGTTTGTATTTGGTTCAAAGTTCCTTGTAGATTACCCAAATCAAAAAGCATCTGATGAAGACAAGAGGGCAGAACAGTTAAAACATTGCAAAAACAACAAAGACAAGGACAGTAGTCCACATATAAATACTGTAAATAACGATAATTTCTCATCCCAGAAATTCAGATAGAAACTTGTTTTATTGTGTTGTGTATTTGGGATGTTATTTATCTTAGTTGTATTGTGGAGTATCTGATTGAAACCAAAGAGAATCATGAGGAACCACTGTGAATGTTTTTATACAAATCTATTTTTAGTAAATGGCAATTTCCTAATTTTTTCCAAAATGAGCCAGTACAGCCAGACTAGAACAAAAACCGGGACAGCACAGCCAAGCTAGATCAAAATAAGCAAGCGGTGAACTTAATAGTATTTTTCATAAAAATGGAAAACAAAGATAATTAATAATTGTAAATTGAGCAAAAAAAAAAAAAGATTATTAAAAAGTTGATCAAATATATATACAATAAGAAATCCTATTCCATCATTAATGTTTGCACTGATTTCTGACCACCAATAATCACTTTCTAATTTGAAAAGCTCATAAATTAAATGCTGTCCCAAGTTGTAAAATAAAATTGAAAAGAATAATTAAAAAGGAGAAAACAGTTTAATTAAATAACGTATACAAGAATAAAAAGAGAAGTGACAAATAATTTAAAAAAAAAAAAAATTGTAAAAATCTAAAATCCTTATAAAATTTTGTACTAATAAACTCAACTAAAATGCTTTATGTCATTTTGATTGGTTATTTTGGTTAGTAGCATATCAACCTCTAGGTGATTTAATACCAAAATCTAAATATTTTGTATACAATTTTATTTATTTATTTTTTGGAGATAATAATGGTTTTAGTGATACAAGTCTTACTAATTAACCCATAGCTAGGGAGAGAAGAGGTGGATTCATACCTTTCCCAAGAGTATTTGCATGTAAGTGAAAATAATCTCTACTGGAATTGGAACACAGCTCTCAGATTAACAATACTGAGCTATTACACCACCCGCACATCCAAGGTTACATCACCTGGTAGTTCCAATCAGTCACCCATCTAGGTACTGACCAGGTTTGACGTTGCTTAACTTCAGTGATCATATGGGAACAGGTGTTTCAATATGATGTGACCATAATCCCTTTATACCACCTACACATCCAAGCTTAAAGCACCTGTTATTACCAAGTGGTTACCCATCTAGGTACTGATCAGGCTTGATGTTGCTTAACTTCTGTGATCGCATGGGAAGAGGTGTTTTAATTTGTCATCTTAAAATCACTCATTATTTGAACTGTTGTTTAACTGATTGATCCTTTTCATACATTATAGCAAAAAGAAAAGCATGTGTCTGTTGGGGGTATTTGTTAACTTCCCCCAAAGGCTAATATCTTTAATTTTAAAGCATGGAACTTATAAAGAATTTGAGGTGGGATAGAGGAGGAAAAAAAAATTACATTTTGCTTTAGACTAGAAACTCAATTTGTTAAGTTGGAATCTCATTTTAACAGCATATTTAAAAATTCAAATCATTTCAATCCTTCTCTTTTTAACTTTTTAGTTGGAGTCAAAGTCAATCAAGTGTTCAGATTTTGCAGCTTTGTCCAAAGAGGCTAATGCTATCTAAAATTTGAAGAAAGAAAAAAATTAGCAATATAGCTTTTGAAGACATCTTTATTTGTCCCCACCATAAAAAAAAAACAATCAATTTAACATAATTCTTCCTACTCTTTAGTTCATAGTCTTCCCACAATTTTTGTTATGTACTCCCCATTACTAGCTCATCAGTCTATCTATTCAGAGATCTACAGAGTTTTCATTCCTCTGGTTTTTTCACTCCCATCTTTTGAGATCAAATTTTGAGTACTGACCCTTCCTTAACCTACAAGACCATCTCATCCCTGCTGCAAGTCAGGATATATATCTTAAATTTATAACTACAGTTGGCTATTTGTTTATTTATTATGTACCATTACACACATGTGGAAAAAGTCCAACAAAAGCATAAAAACCAAAAACAAAATTTCTGTTGAGATTTTAGAGTTGAGGAAGGCTGTAGAATTAATGGAACTATTTGAATTAACTGGTCCCACTTGTAAAAAAAATAAAGTTTTGCTTTAACAGTTTTTGTAGATTATCACTCATTAGACCTTCATTTATAGATTATCACTCATTAGACCTTCATTTATAGATTATCACTCATTAGACCTTCATTTATAGATTAGCATTCATTAGACCTTCATTTATAGATTAGCATTCATTAGACCTTCATTTATAGATTAGCATTCATTAGACCTTCATTTATAGATTAGCATTCATTAGACCTTCATTTATAGATTAGCATTCATTAGACCTTCCTCAAGGTACAACATTTGTCAGACTCAAAAACTATTAATTTCTTATAATTTTAGAAGTGGGGTTCTGTTCATAATTTAAATACAGTATCAAATCAATCACAGACTTCTTAAAGAGTTATCTGGACTTTGTTATTTTTACAAATGTCATGTTTGAAACTGTGCTTACATCATTGATAAATGCATAATATTATGAATTGGAGAAAAGGTTGACATGCAGAAAACATCAATAACATAAGCAGAATTTCAAAGCAGACATTTTGTAAATAATAACAGAGTACAGATAACTCTTTAAGAAGTTAGGGAGAGATTGATCTGTGTTTATATTAATGAACAGTATCCCCTTTTTAAAATGATAAAAAAAACGAATATTTTGTGATTTTACCAAATGCTGTGGATTGCGGAAAGTCTAATGAGAAAAAAAAAAAAATTCCTATTTTTTTTTTTTAAATGAGCAGACTTGATGGATTCATTCATTTTTTACAGCTTATCAACCCTTTGCAGCTTATTTAAAGTTGGAAAATATTTTTAGATTGTAAGAATTTTTTTGGTGATATTGATTTAGTGATACAAGTTTTTCTAATTAAACCCTAACTGGGGGGAGAAGAGGTGGATTCATACTTTTTTTATGAGTATTTGTGTGTAAGTGAATATAACAAACCCAACTGAAATTGGAACTTTGCTCTCCAATTAACAATTCTGGCTCATTATCCATTACACCATCTGCACATCCAAGCTTACAGCAGCTGGTATTCCAAGTGGTCACCTGTCTAAATACTGACCACAGTTGACATGGCTTAACTTCGATGATTGTACAGGAATCAGTGTTTCAATGTAATATAGCAGTAAACCTCTTTAATGAGCAGGCTAGACAATTTAAATAGCACCAAACTGATTAACTAAAATATTGCTTGGAATAACGTTTATGCAAACAAATACTGAAATATAACAAAAATTTTTCCCTCATTTTTAGTAGTTTTTCAAAATTTGTACTGTCTAACAAAATAGTTTACAAAGAAAAATTAGTACATATTTACCAAATGTTCGTTTTTATAATTTCATTCATGCAAAATTGTTTTTATATAGACAGTATAGACATCATATATATATATATATATATATATACACACACACACACATGATTCATCTTAAAAAAAAAAATCAATACAAGAATATTCTGTGGAAGAAACCAATGGAAAAAATTTTTTTAAAAATCAAGAGAAAATATTTATCCTTACCTTTTTGATAATATTTAGAATTATGGGTCCATCGAAACCCTGTACACAAACCAAAATCGGTCAACTTTATATGCCCCTCCCTGTCTATCAAAATATTGTCGGGTTTAATATCCCGATGTATAAAACCCATTTTATGAACACTTTCAATCGCTAAAACGAGTTCTGCTATGTAGAACCTGGCCAATTCTTCTTCAAAAATCTCAAACTTAATAAGAAGTCCCATCAGATCGCCACCAGGAACATAATCCATCACAAAGTAAAGATTGTCTTTGTCCTGAAACGAATAATACAGCTTGACCACCCATTCGTTATCAGCCTCAGCCAAAATATCCCTCTCAGCTTTGACATGGGCGACCTGGTTACGCTGCAATACATCAGATTTACGCAAGGTCTTCATAGCGTATAACTGTCCCACATCCTTTTTGCGGACAAGAGCTACCTCCCCAAAAGCCCCAACTCCCAGAGTGGTGACTTTCTCAAACATGTGCTTCTCCAACTTGGCTCTCTTTAGACGGATGTAGTTGGATTCCTTCTGGTGAAGGATCTTGCGCATTTGGTGTTGGGCATCCACTGATAGGCCCACCTTGTTCATCTCGCTCTCCAGTAAGAGACGCCTTCGGAGACGTTGGGTTGTAGATTTCATCACATTCTCCACATGTTGTTCCATGAAGAATTTATACGCTTGCGGTGAATAGTTTCGCACGCGTTCCTGGTCAGGTGACCGGTTTTCATATTTCCACTCAGGAATTGGTGATGTGCACCTGTGTGTCTCCTCTTGTATCTCGTTTGTGGTCAAATCAGTCTCTGACACTTGCTCAGACCAATCATCCTTCTCTTCATTGTCCAAATTTTTGTTAGGAGCACCCACTGATGAGTCCAATGGAGGGGTGAAACTTTGCGGATGGGAAGAGGAGGACGACGTGGAAGTATTTTGCGTTGTCAGCTGCACCCGCTTCTGAGGTATTGGTTCAACTGGACATTGGGTAAGGGGCGGGATTGGCTGAACAGGTGTCTGAGACAGCACTGGGGGTGAAGAGGATTGAGTTATGTTTAAAACTCGACCTGGGTATGGAGGAGGAGGCTTTGAGGGAATATCAGAGCCACTAGATGGGGTGGAGGTGGTAGACTGTACAGATGTATTAGATTGCATCGACATAGGTGACTGGTTGGTTGCCCGAGAGACAGGCGAGTCTGACCTCGGGGTAGATGAGGTCGTGTCTGATGGGGGAGGCTTTTGAAAAAGGTCAAAGTGTAAACTTGGCATTTGGGTCTGTGCGTACGTAGGATGGCCTTGATTTTTGATGTCGATCTGTAAAGAGTTCGGCACCAGAATTTTAATACGTACATCACGTTTGGGAGGAGAAGTATTTTTCGGTGTTTGTGGGGGATTAATTGTAGTTTCCACTGATGAAATGTAACTTTGCGAAGAATTTGAAACAGGTGTGGGTAGTGCAGCTGAGAGCGGAGCAGATAACGGAGCGGTGGCTGTTTGAAGCTTGGGTTTTTGAACTTCACGACTCTTTACTGATTTCATGATAATGGGCGGTTGTTTGGCTCCCCAAGCCTGTACAGGAACGGGCGGGGACGGAGCTTTACCCTTGGGCAAGTTTATCTGTATGCTATCACTACTTGCTGGGCTACAGTTGGAGCTCAAAGATATTTGCGTTTCATACGGCGAAGTCCTCTGTACCTTTGATGAAATCATATGCGACCGCTCATTGCCATGCTGAAAATAAAACGTGTGGGCTTGTTTAGGAATCTGAATGGTAACTTTGGGGAATCGCTGCTCATTTAAGGC